TGTTAATACAGCACTCCTATGCCTCGAACTTTGCAGTTGTTAAGGAATATACCGTCATACAGAGTGATTGTTGTTGAACTCTATAACAACATGCAGGCAGTTAATTTCTGAGTATCCTTGTGTCTTGTGGGCTATGTAGTATTTCATACACACTATCATGACGTAGTTAGGTGGAGCAGACCACTGTTATTAATTGCATTTAATCCTTTGTGCATGTAAACATAAGGTTATATACTGTATCCATTTATGTAAATGACTGTATCAGCCAATGCACCACAGCAGTTCGGTCAAATGTTGCAAATTTGTTATATTTGTTTGTTATGGCAGCCATTTTGAAATAAACATAGCAGCCGCAGTTTTGGTTAGATCATGTGTGTCCTAGTTCTTAAATAAAAGCAATCAGGTTTTTACTTCTTTCACAATTTGGGCAATTCTGATAGCTACTAACACCATAGATTCTCATCTGAGTTTCTCAGTCTACCCTCAAAAATACACTGACTTCCTAAAACTGCGATATTAATTTGCACAACACTCTCAGGACAAATGTGATATCACATTTAGTCACGCACACAATATCAGAAACTGTATAGTACAAGCTAGAGAGCTGGATTGCATTGAATTGCTGGGCACGGTCATGCTCCTCAAGGGATAAACTCTTTGTGAATTCTGACTCTGTAACAGTGTTTTGTTTTTTTTTCTTTTTTTATTAAACTTGTTCCTGACAAAGCCCCCTGCACACAACTCCACTGTGTCAATTGATTATAACAACTGTTTGCTTACAAAGTTAAAAATTATTCCAATTTTTTGTTATTTCAAAAATGAACCTTTTGCACCCCTAAGATCAAGCTGAAGCCAGTGTGCTGTTATGCCCCAAAGAAGACTTTACACGAACATGAATAATGAATGGTAAAGTGTAATGTGTAATATCATCTGTTGACTGGAACTAGGTTGCTGTTACTGCTGTGGTGACTGGACAGGCTGCTGTAGGGAACTGAAGAAACCTGAGACACTCCAGGGGCTCACGATGGAGACAAGCCTACTCGCCACAGAAAAGTTTGACTGTGTTGAGGATCATATGCAAGCACATTTTCCAATAACCCTAAGAATGAAATCTTTTTTAGTAAACATAGGGTGGTCATGAGGAAATTCGTAATATTTAAGTGAATGACAGCATTGGAAGAGAAAATATTATCGCTTAATTCCCAAAAAACTGAAAAAATGTCGAGAGAGTTTTACCCAGCAGCAGCAACAAAGGACGATGCATTTCTCCCAGCCAAACAGCAGCACTTGTTGACTGATAGTGTGTGTCTATCAATAGGTATTTGTTCTGTATGACAGCTAATTTTGTGCATGAAATACTCTTTATAAATGTTACTGTTCAAGGTGGTGTTCACTTAAATGTTTCAGTGTCAAAGGTTTGTGCAACAGGTATGTGTATGTGGTATGATGTGAAAGTTATGAGAATTGCAGTGACACATAATGTTTGATGCAAGGAATAAATGTGTTTCTATTCTGAGTCAAATGTTGAGTTTGTTTTCAGGACTGTTACGCCCAGTCTAGGGGCACCTGAACGCAACACGAATGCGCCATCCTTCTCCGGTCCCAAGCAGCCACACCACAGCAGTTTTAC